GGCTACCAACGCTCGACTATACACAAACCGAAAACTGAGAAAAGGGCATGCTTCCACCTCAAACGCTGGCAACGGTTTCGTGACTCTTAAGTTGAAGGTGTCCATGGGAGGCATTAGTCATTTACCATCACATAAGCCATCTCCTCGTTTTAATGCCGACTGGGAGCCTTACCGGTGCGCTTTGCGTAATCCACTAGAGTTCCATGGATACCGTCTATAAAAGTATCTGTTAAATCATGCATTCAACTCGTGCTCAAGGACATCGGCAGCGAGAGAGGCAGGGAGGGGACATCGGGTGGGACGAGATGCGCGCGCGCCGTCCACAAGCGCGGCGCTTAGCTGACGACGCGAATAGACACATACCCGCTCGCGGTCCTTTTATATATTTATTTTTTTATATTATTTTCCCGGCAACGACAACTCTGTACTTAACCAGTGTTTTTAAATAATTATTTATACCGTCCACTCTCGTTTTATTCCGACTAAACCCAAAGGAATCATACCAAACAGTATCATCATTCCTGTTAACATAAATAATGACAGGAAAAAAAATGGCATGCTCTGCTACCCGGGGTGAGTTATTATTTAACAAGACATCAACTGTGTCATACAACTACGTAAGTAATAATGATAACCTCACACTTCTCACACAAAGTAGGTATTTGATGATTCTTTGAGATACAATGACAACTAGATTAAAGAGGTCTGTAATTACACGTACTTAAATCTTTTCTTACATTACGTAAATAAATTGATTATGATCCTTGAGGTAATCGAAAAATCGGCAATGTTTATTGAAAGTAAAGAAATTAAAAAGTATGTACCCACACTTTGAAATTTTTAATATGACGTTTTTCCATGTTCAATAGCTGGTAAACGGCGCTTTTATCTATTAAATCGATATCAAATGGCAAAAACGGAACCATTATACATAGTTTCGCCATGTCCGTCAGTCCGTCCGGCCGTCTCTCCACAGTTCACACTATATCTCACAAATATGGTATTTTATGGTTCCTTTAAAGTGGGTATCGGACACACAACACTCAGCGTAGTATTTAGCGGCTAGGTGACCGCTTAAACCACTACGCCACACGCCACCCGTGCAGTCATTGGATAGGTCTTTTAAAAATAATGAGGGTTTGTAAAGACAATATTTTCATGAAGGTATCCGTTTGTAAGTCTTAAGGCGCAGATTTTTGTTGCAGTCAAGTGTTAGCGTATGCTATGGAAGTAAATAATGTGAAGATAGCAGCATTTTTAGATCATGCAAATGCCCTAACGGTATCGGAGTAGGCCCATGCATATTATATCACTACTCCAATTAACACGTGACGTTGGTTATCACTCTTTCTTACAACCTGTCGATTCTACACGCAGTGGTAATCAAATAAATATAATTAGTTTGAATTATTGTGATAGGTATAGGTAACCCTATATTGGGCGTAGCTCGACACGCACTGGGCCGGTTTTTTAAACTTTTCGGTTCAGTATACAAATCGTAACCAATTTTCTAATAATAATAACTTGTTTCAAATTGCTTGGTCTCATAAAAATGTAAAAAGAATTAAAAAATCCTGGTTCGAAACTGGTTTTGTACAAAGGTCATTTTTTCCTCCTCCTCAACTGGTTATGAATCATCCATTTCGATGGCGGATATTTTATTGTTCTTTTGTGTACCGATACAAATCCCTCGCAAGCGCTAGGTAGTGTGGGACAGGAAATAGACTTAGACAATAGAGTTTGTGCGATCGGCAATAGTTTACAACTAGGGGTTAATTCGGAAAATAAAATCTCTCGACATAACTTGTTGACAAATAAGTCTTAAAATAGTTTCCTACAAAGAAAGTTATTATCATAAGCAGGCGCGGCCTTGGGGTGGCGAACAGGGCAACCGTCCGGTGCCTCGCTCATGCATGGGCCTCGCGCAGTACGCAACCGTCCAAGTAAAAAAATATTTACATGAATTTCGCACAATAACCCTCGCATTGTAAAACTCATGTGGATTTTGGGTGGATTATCACGCAAGAGAGCGTGTCATATCGTAGTTTGTACGATTTACGTTTGGGGATTTCCCGTGTTTCATTTCTCCTGTAATTTTGACATGCTGTCAGTGATCAGTGTCAACTGTCGTCGGTTTATGTTATTGTGACCAAGCAGCAGTAGGTGTCGCGTTGCATTTTTATTTTAAGTACCATTATTAAAACTGATTCCACAAGGACAAGGACCTCGCAATTATCCACCCTCCCATGGTCTCGCAATGGCTAAGGAATATTAATATTTAAAACGTGTGTGTGTGTATTTAAAAACAATAGATATAATTTTTATTTTTTAATTTATTCAACTTAATTGTTTGAACATGACATTACATTCTTTGTCCCCCAAAACCGGGTTGATGGTTTGACTTATGAGTTTTATTAGTCGTATTCGGTCTCGAAAAGTGATGTAAAGACCTGTTTTATTCTTTTTGTGAGCTCATTACAGCTCAGTCTTGTTGTAAAAAGTCCTGTGTATTCTTTTTAATTATTCTCAAAGAAAACTGCTCGAAGGGGAACAGTTCAACTTTTTTTGAGCGACTTTTTACTTTAATTAAGATTATTTAAATTAGAGAGAACTTTTACGATTGTCCGTGTGGTGACGGATTAAAAATACGGATTGTCACCACCCCCATTCATCCCGTGGGTGTCGTAAGAGTGGACTAAGGGAGCAAACTACGCAGGACAGCAACACTGCAAAAAAGAGGAAAACTTGACACAAACCGTCTATACCAACCCGTCTAGCCAGCGTGGTATAGTGGGCTAAAACCACTTTTCTAAGGAGAGGCCTATTTCCCGCAGTGGACTGTTAAAGGCTGTTGATAATTTACGATACCTTCCGCTTATGAGTCGCCGCACAATTCGATACACTAAAATACTATGTTGATAATTAATATGTGAGGTTACGTAAAAGATAAAGTCCAATTAATTGAGTAGAGCGCGCCCTACTAGTAGACAACGATTATGCAAACATTATTTTCCTGGTTTAACTTTCAAAGCTGAATAACTTTATTTTAGCCGTCACAGAGGTTATTACCTATGGTTTAACATTTTGCAAGTATGTTAATTACTGTATACTTCTCAAGTGACCTGGAATCCTTAATTCAGTCAGAAGGCCTAACAGCGCAAGGTAAAGGAAAATCTGAAAGTAGTCACCTTTGTTGTAATATTATGTATGTACATGGATAATCAGGAGCCTTAATTGATACTACTGGCTGTTAACAACTAATTTTAATACGCACAAGTCACAAGGTAACACGTTACACAATTTATAGTTAAGGCACGGTACAATTATAATAATTGTACCGTGGTTAAGGTGATGTCTGAAATTCAAACAATACAAACACATCAAGTAAATTTATATTGATTGCGGTAACGAAACCGTAACGGGATCTAGCCATACGGCACAGCGACATCTATCGAAGATTAATGTAATAAATTTAACTTATACAATATAAAACATGATTATTACGATAACAAAATTATTATATCGATGTATGGGAAAGTATATTTCGAACGGCAAAATAAACTTTGATACGAAGAAACACTGGCCACATTTTCTAGAACAGATTCTCAAGACAGAGTTGTCTACGTCCAACTCTATCTTGAGCATAACGCACAGTTCGTTCGGTCACCCCGATACGTGAGTCAAACTAGCATATTCCGGTAGTTTTTTCTTCCTATTGTCATTCTACTTTTATAAATTAAACAAAACCAAACTTATACATCCATTTACGTTAATAAATCGACGCGTTATAATTAAACCAAATTGAATTAATGGAATCCATTGTTATTTCGCAAATGGGAAAAGTTGGGGTTTTGTTGCTTAACTATTCTCACTTTTCTTTCTAAAATGTGAAACAGTATTGTGATAAATTAATTATAAGTTATTATTTATATATTGTTCCTTTTGAAGTTTCTGATTTTCGTAGTGTGAGAGTGTGAAAGGAACAAACTAAACGAACGAACGAAAATAACAATTAGCTATTTAAAGATAAGCAATAATGTAGTGTTTTATTAATTGACTACTAACAAGAGATTTGGTTAATGAAACCGTTTTAAAAAAGTTGTTATAAAAAAATCAGTCAAATTCAATTCAATTCAAAATTCAAGTTAGGCACTTCTATAATCGTGGTTAAAAAATAACAAGCAGAAGATTTTATTACCAAAAGCCACTTATTTTAGTTATTTATTTACTAGAAGTAATTAAAATAGGTACTTGAAAGTTTGAGGAAGTCAGTTAATGTAACATTACATCCTCAAAAAACCATTCTTATCGAGTAGAAACGAAATGCAGCCAGAATGTAAATACATTTCAAGTATATCATTATATTTTACAGCAAAAATATTTTTGGTGCAAAAACGAACTCGTCACGGTGCTTGCACATTGCACATGCACATTTTATAAAATTAATTGTACTAAAAAAAATCATTGGTCTATCTGAACCTGACACACTCTGAAAGTACCTAACGAACTATTTGCATATGATTTTCACCTATGTGTAGAGTAAAAATTTCTTGAAATAGGACAACGAATGTTGAAAATTTCGTAAATAATCATGCCGAAAGCTTAATTAGCGTACGCCGCGCCGCGCAAACCAATAGATTTACATGAAAACAATCTATTACGAATTTGTTAATCTTAAGAAGGTCTATTATAATATAGCAACGCTATATGTCTATCTTCTAAAATTAACACACTATAACAAAAATATTTAATAAAATGCTCTAGTGCTTGTGTGAAGCCGGCGGGTTTTACATAAGATAGATAAGAAAATTGGGTCGTGTATTGTTTTGCCAACAAAATATTTAGTTAGGTTCTTGGTCATTAACTAATTTATCAATTAATTATCAATTAAATTGTTATCTTATAGTTGAATACATTAATAAGAAGAAAGGTGGAGAATTGGTTCAATAAAATTACATGTACCTATCTAAATATTTATGGAGAAAAATTAAATCACTTACGTATATCTATTGCACCATTACAACCACTAAGCACTAATAACAAAAAGAAAAGATTATTGAAACTAATCATAGTGAATTTCAAAACAAGTTGTATGATACTAGATAACACGAGCACTTGAGCCCAAGTTGTGGAATCGTTTGGTAGTTTCACGCCTGTGTTGCGCTCGTGCGGCCCACCATGGAGCCAGCTGTGATTGCATAAAAACGCAGCATAACCTTCAATGTGACTGTTCCGTCTTAAACTCAAAGTAATCCAAAATAAATAAAATCGGATGGTTTAAAAAAGGCATTGTTAAGTAAAAAAATATGTAATTATAAAAAGTTATTTACAGTTTATGATGCTAAACAAACGGTGATCCTTTATTTTTTACTAGCTGACCCGCGCAACTTCGTCCGCGTCTCTCAATAGTAATAAATTTTCTCCGTTTCTGAAACATTCTTCATTGGTGCTCCGCTCCTATTGCTCTTAGCGTGATGATATATAGCCTATAGCCTTCCTCGATAAATGGGCTATCTAACACTGAAAGAATTTTTCAAATCGGACCAGTAGTTCCTGAGATTAGCGCGTTCAAACAAACTATTCTACTCTTCAGCTTTATAATATTAGTATAGTTTTTTTTTATTATTAAAAACTGAAGTGTATGGTAGTATTAAGGGGCCTGCCACTAGCTAAAAGAGTGACCACGTGCAGTACCGATTAAAGGTCGCCCAACACCCGACCAGCACAACTTCGTCGCTTGGTGTCCAATCGTTGTCGACAGATGGTCAACAAGCTGACATTGCGTTATCGGATAAACTAAGGTTTGATATCTGCTATTGATTCTTCTACCCTTAACGAAATGCTTTTGTGAAATCTGTCAACCAAAAAGAATTGCAGCCTTGAGTTGATAACGTGTAGTAGGATTTTGCTATCATGTTAGGGTTATTGTTCTGTAGTTATTGCGGTATGCAAATTATAAGACATGCAAATTATGAGAATGTTTCGTTTTCGTTTCGATATCTGTTTAAAATGCCGCCCTTGTGCGGTGCTCGCTCTGCACACCCGTAAGCGATTTTTAACCGTGATGTGTTGATTAAAACATGAGTAACCTTAGAAAAGCCTTGGATATAATATAAAGCGAAACACTTATGGGCAGATTGATAATACATACACACATATAATTTATGTATGTAGGATATGTGTGTACAACGTACACACGTAACTACTTGGTAGGTAGTCCGCCAAGTAGTTATTAACTCTCTATTAGTGTAACCGCGGATAAAGTATTTGGTATAATAGTTTATGGTTACATAACATAGTAAATAATTTTACAATATATTTAGAGATAAGAACAGTATTTATTGAGAGGTCTTATTACTACCGTATTGACTATGGTACTATTTCTAATACCCATACTCAATACGGTACGGAAGAATTGAGCACGATCTCGGATATTTTATGAGTAATAGAAGTTTTACTCATAAAATATCCGAGATCGTGCGAATGTAATATTGGTGATATCAAAAAGCTTTGACAGTACAATATATTGAAGAAGATCAAGAGCTTGCGAGTTTAGGAATGGCCTAAGGCGCCACTTATATGATTGGTCATCCTTAAGACCAAAATGTCGAAATGGCCAAAATAAATCCTTACTTCCTTACTAGAGGAGAAATTAATAGGTTTTCGAGCGGAAATAAAAGATGGTTACGAGTAGGACATCAAAAATGTTTTGTAGTAATAAAAGATTAATGAGAATTAGTTATAATTATTTATTGCTATTAATATTATTCATATTTAATGATACAATACTAGGAGGTTTCCTCGCAAAGGAAGTAATAAGTTACACAGGGATAATTAGATTGTGGCCCAATAAAGCTGGTACATGTCGCTAAACGGCTCTGAAAGCTGATTTTGAAAAAAGAAATGGTACGCTTACAATAACGTTATTCGAAAAAAAACGTGTATTTTGTATAAATAAATTTTTGAATTTTCAAAAAAAATCTTCATTATTTGAAATAAAAAATCATTTCTGATAAAAAATTAAAAATAATAGTTCAAAGTCAACGAATTATAAGCATAACTCATAATTCGTTGACGTTTTTATTATTAGATCTTATAAATGTCTATTTATAATTTAAAAAAAAAATAAAAAAATCAACCGTGAGTTGCATTGACCGAAATTTTATCTTATTTTTGGACAAAATCATACCCATCTATGAATAATTCACTCGATTGATAAAGTTAATCTGAAGTAAGTTACTCAATGGGTCAAAAATAAATATCGGCCAGGTACCGCAGATGACTCGGGCGCCGGAGGTTGCAGAACGACCTCCGCCCTCAATAAATGCAGGCCTGGGGGTGACAGGTGAGGCCAGCTCTCACCGTAAAATTACCGGTTTTCCTCAAACAATTTACATTCTTAGTAAGTAAAATTGAACGCGTACCTATCTTATAAACAAAACCAAAACTTGTTACAGGATACTGTGTGCTTCTTTGTGGTTTCAAGATGCCTCTCACGCCTGCTGAGAAGCAGAGACGATACCGAGAACAGCGTAAAAATAATCTCGAAAAGGAAGCAGAATATAAAGGAAATGATCTAGAGAGATACCATGCAAGCAAAAACTTAGTTGGAGATTTAACAACACGTTTTAACATCGAGCATTCAAAAAGAAATGGCGAGACAAATGCCAGTCCAGCCCCTTCAGACCAAGATCAAGTGATTCCAACGGCTTATAAACGTTTGTCTACACCCCAGCTGTCTATTTCCCGTGAAAATACTCCCAATTCCATCAAATTAGCAGCTACTCGCGGCAGAAAGCAAGTATAAAGAGACAGATCAAAGTTAATAAGAGATAAAATGAAATTACAATTACATGGTAATTGAAATGGTGTTTGAAATGAAAATTACAATTCAATTACCACGTGATTGAATTAAATCGTAATTGGATGGTAAATGAAAATTAAAAAAAAAACGATACAACAAAGAGAAACGAAAGAAATCTAAAATTGAAAAAATATAAAGTCCTATCTGATGCTATTAAAAAACGCTACGAAATGTTAGAAATCGGAAGGAGAAATGTGGTATTCAAAAGATATTTTAAGAAAAGGCTGTTAAAACAAGGAAGAAAACAGAAATCATACAGTTATATGCTTAAAACACAACCCTTGCTTAAAAAATGGTTTTAGGTTGCAAAATCAAGGATTTTTTCAACGTGACGTTAGAAACGTTAGTTAGTACGTTAGAAAAACTGTTTCCCTTTTCAGTTTTTCTAAAGAAGAATAAAATGCAGAAGCGCTACGTGTTCACGCCAGGCCCGGGAACGGGCCAGGTACCGCAGGCGACTCAGGCGCCGGAGGTCGCAGAACGACCTCCGTCCTCCATAAGCGCAGGCCTGGGGGTGACAGGTGAGGCCATCTGTCACCCTCGCAGAAGCAGGCCGGGGTGGCGCGCTCGCTTCCAGGGAGCGCAGGGAACATGGATTTCCCACACGGGGGGGGGGGTCGTCTTCTCGTCTGTAGATGACCCGAGGTATGTCGGGGCACCAGGGACTTCCTTTTTAGGGTGTATCTGGTTCCCCGGCTATTAGTACGCGAGACGGCGTTCGGTTTTAGTCGGTTCGAGTCCGACATGCCACCGTGGTATCCGAGGGGATTTCCGCACGAAAATAAAAAAAAAAAAAAAGGTGTATTCCCAAGGCAACTTTAACAATCAATAAAAACGTTAGATTTACTCCCTCATACATATGTATAAAAGCCTCCAGAAATCCGCTATTCTTAACACCTGTAGAATATTAAGAATTTTTTTACAGTCAGACAGTCAAGTAAATAAAACAAACACAACGTTAACGATATTACCCTCATAAAGTCACACTTGGCCTTCGGTGTTTTGGCCAGTGACAGACACCAGCGTTTAGCTGAGATATAAAAAAATTAAATGAAAATAATAATAATATTTTTGGACATTGACACCCAACGACATCTAGTTTCAAACTAAGCATAGCTTGTAATATGAAAGCTATATTGACTGATAGAATATTTATATACTTTTTCTGTAAATACATACATATTATATATTACTCAGAAATCACCCAAACGCCGAAACAAATATTTACAAATCATATAAACATTTGGTCCTCATTTGGGCTCAGCACAACAGTCGCATACGTTACCACTGCACCACTGAGGCAGTATTCTTTTCGTGAAATGCAGTTGCTATTGAGCGAAACACGCAGTCTTCTGGAGTTAAGCAGCCTCCGGCACGCCGTTGGTCCCCGGCGTCGTAGGGTGGCTCTGTTCTGCGATCATTTGGATCTGCCAATGTATAGAGGGCGTTAAAGCCCGCAAACCTAACTAACTTAACTAATAAGTTTTGTTGTAATAAGTAAAATTTGTAATATCTGAAATTACTAAAATGGAAATGTAGGAATTACTAGCAAATAGTGCCCGTTTGGTAATAATCAATAATATTTGTTAATTTAACAAAACTTTTTTTTCGAATACAAAATAGTTTAGTAAATTCTGGTGGTGTCTTTTTTCTCCGTGTAGGTACTGTGCAAGCCCAACATAATAAAATTGGCAGCATTCTTCTTTCTGCAGTGCTGTGACTATATTTTGCTGAAAAATGTATTGATTGGAGATCTTGAAGAGATTGTTGCAAATTATGTTATGTTGAAACTCGTATTTGTATTGCCTGTCAATTTGTCTGTCAATTTTGGAGTTAGCCCTCTCCTAGACAGGTTGCAAACCAATGCTGTTGACGCCTATCTCGCCAAATTACACAAGTCAAAGTTAACCAACCTCAATATCATAATCGAGGGCTCCAGAAACCCTAGTACACCAAAATTTCAGATGAATTGGTGTAACGGAGTTTAAACCGCATTCGTGTCCTTAGCAAGTCCTTTCATTTTTTTACGACAACTCCCGCACTAGCAAAATAGCCTGTGTCGCGGGAGAATTCACAAACATACATGAAACTGACACAAAGGACACCCAGACTCGGAACAATAATTTGTGGATCACATAAAGTGTTGTCCCATGTGGGGATCGATCCCACAACACTTAGCGTAGTAGAAAGCGGCGAATTGACCGCTTAAACCACTACGCCATCTGAGCTGTCAACCATTTGATACCCATATTGTAAAGTCTGTTTTTTAATCTCGTAGACTAAACTGACATTACGAGTGTTCTCAGTTTATTGCAATTCTTAAATGGTGATGTGGCACAACCGAAACTTAGCGTTAATAAAATCAAGTATCGTTTTTTTACAATAAGTTATCCTGAAATAATGTGTTTATCCTGAAATAATGTGTAGGTACTTATTTAAAACGTAATAATACAAAATTAATAATGTAAAACATATATTTTTAATTACATAACTTAATTACAGGTATCGCTTTAATCTGATTCAGATAATGACTCCATGTCTGAGGAATATTCTGAATCATCAGAATCGCCACCTACTTCTATGATAAACCTATCAGTAATGTCGTCGGTTATATGGCCCAGATGACACATTTGATCTTCAATTTTAATTACATGGACTACACAGTCTTTCCACCGCTGCGGGGTCACTTGACGAAGCCCTTCTTCAAAAAGGCTTCGTACTTCATTCCTTTTTAATGTTTTATTATTTTTAGCGACATGCCCCTTTACTTGAGCCCAGACCAACTCAATCGGGTTTAGCTTGCAGTGGAAGGGCAGTCGCAAAATAGTGACACCCCGTTCAGTAGCCATCTCGTCGACGACATTCCTTTCATGGGTTTTTTTGTGCTTTCGGGCAATTTCATTTAATTCGGGCTTTAACATTGTCTCGTCATATGAAATATTTTTTGATTTTAGCCAATCTTGGATTTGCCCTTTTCGCCAACTAGAAGTGGGTAACGATTCCAGTTTCCTGGTGTGATATGGAGCATTATCTATTACAACTACTGCGTTTCCTTTTAATTTCTGAAAAATATTTTTAACCAGTTTTCGTATATATGAGAAGTCATCTCCTTGTGGTAATCATCTAGCCCCTTTTTCGCTTCGAATATTAATAGACCATAATCCACGAATCCCTCTTCGCTTCCAACATGGGACACAAAAAAAACTACATAAATGATTATGCGTCCATCATAAATGATTCCGCGAAAACAAACGTAACGTAACAAACGTTTGGCAACGTAACAAAACCACAAAACTTAACAAAAAACAAACAAACAGAAACAAACTCAACGAAAATATAACAAACAGCACTTGAAATTGTATCAAGACACAACGGACGCATTCGAACTAGACTTGCAACGAATAGTATATTCGGCAGTATACCGAATACCGAATATTCGGCGAGGCCCCTGACCGAATAGCCGAATATTAGGCAAAAGTATTCGGCTGGATTTTAGCGCCTAAAACTTGTACAGACGTGATTGTTTCGCCCGCGCTCCCGCTGTTGCTCTGCGCGGTATATTGCTAACGCACTGCATGTTTCGACAAAATAAAATGCAGAAAAGTTAGTCTTTCAGCACCATAACCTTCCCCTTCTAAATTTTGATTATGAAAATAATTTAAATGCATAGAAAAATTCTTAACTTGTTTAATACAGAAAATGATTAAATTATGTACCTGTTTTATGTACCAATGACTACTTAATAAATGATTATAAAAAAAATGAGAACCTTACCCTTCTAAATTTTGATTACCACAATAATTCAAATACATAGAATCCTCCATTTTTCCAATTCAGAAGATGATTATGTACCTGTGTTATGCACCAATGACTAGGTACTTAAATGATTATAACAGAAATGAAAATATGAATATATACGTAATCAATCGATTTTAATTTTTTTATTTTACCAATTATTTCTCTATGACAAAATATATTATTTAAGTATTCGGTATTCGGCCGAATAATATGTAGATATTCGGTATTCGGCCGAATTTAATAAAAGCAGCCGAATAGGCCGAATACCGAATAGTAACCGAATATTCGTTGCAAGTCTAATTCGAACACTTCAGAGGTTGAAGGACGAATAAGGTAAACAAAATGGCGTCCAGTGTTGTTCCTGTGTATGTGTTTAGGGTTGCCGTATTCAAAATCTTTCAAAATTATCATAATTATTTTAAAAATTGCAGTTGTTCGTATGGTGCCAAGTTCCATAATTGCCGTATTTTTTAAGTTCTGCCGTTTCGTAAGAGAAAAGGGTTAAGATTGCCGTTTTAACGCGTACGGGAACAACACTGATGGCGTCTATAATTTTTTTTTTGTTTAATTTAAAGGCATCGAAACTTGGTCGTTGCGTGGTCAGATTTCCCTGGCAGTTTGTAGCACGTCGTGCAGCCGTGTGTACGTACGTGAATTTTAAATAATATAAAACTTTTAAAGGAAAATAAATTCGTCGATTATAAATAAAAAGTTACGATTCAACAAACCGGTATCGTAGGTACAACACTGCACAAAAGAGCTGGCAACATTATTTGTAAATTTGACATTTGCATGTGTCAATTTGGTCTACGAGATTAAAAAACAGACTATAGGAAAGCATACACAACTTAGTCAGCCATCTTTTAAAGTCCGTCATATTGGATTTGGAGTGACGTCACTTTAGTTTTCGAGTTATAGTCTAAGATCTTATATTATTATTCACAGCAAGCCCTTTCATTTGATACCCATATTATAGAAGTGCATTAAAAATAACTAGTCCGCCATGTTGGATTTAGAATAAATAAATAATATTTTTTATTTAGATAAAGAGTACAATAATTTATAATAAATGGCTCTCTAATTTATAAATAAAATACATTTGTTATTTGTTTGCCCGAACTAAGTTGAACCTATGTCTCGGGCAA